TTAAAAAAAAAAATAGAAGTAGCTGCATTTATTGCTTATGCTGTTCCAGGCACTGTTACCTTCTCCATTTTTTTTATCAGAACAGCTTTATTGAAATATAATTTACACATCACAAAATTCACCTGTTTAAAGTGTACAATTCAATGGTTTTTATATAGTATATTCACAGAGTTGTGCCAACTACCACCACCAACTAACTTCAGAACACTTTCATCATTCTCAAAAGAAACCCTGTATCCACTAGCAGTCTGTTGCCATCCTTTCTTGCCCCCAATCCCTGGTAATCACTAATCTACTTTCTGCCTCTCTGGATTTGCCTACTCTGGACATCTCATCACTTTCTTTTCCTGGAGAACCTAATAGTTGGTAACCATTATTTATGATAATTTTGCCTAATGATAGGAATAATTCTTTTAAAATTAATTTTAAGGGGGTGCCTGGGTGGCTCAGTCGGTTAAGTGTCCGACTCTTGATTTCAGCTCAGGTCATGATCTCTGGGTTCTGGGATCAAGTCCTGCGTTGAGAGCTGACTTGGGATTCTCCCTCTCCTTCTCCCTCTGCCCCTCTCCTTGCTCGTGCTCTCTCTCTCTCTCAAATAAATAAAATCTTTAAAAAAAATAAAAACAAAAAAAATAAAATTAAAAAAATACTTTAACTGTTTAACAGTTCTTTCCTTACTTGTCCAATGGGATGTAGGAGTTCAGAATAGATCCTGCCATTGCTTTGGTGCTGGCATTATCACTAACTGTTCCCAAGCTGACTGTGCCAGATTCTCCACTCAGACTGTACCGTTCTTTCTGTACATCTGCTTGCACTTCCAACCTTAAAGAGCAGGGAACAGATAAAAACTGAAATTACATATGATATCAGACTACTATACTATGTATCTTCAAATAATTCAGTTAAGACCCCTACTAATAAGAAGCTATTTTAGAAACAACTATCAGCACATTTTTTTTTTAGTTCCCTTTTATTTGATTATTCAAATTCTACTGCAGCACACTGAACAGTACCAGCCATCCAAATAAAATAGGAAAAATTAGCTGTTTGCCAAGTAAGGTAGTAAAAGAGTAACACAAAAAGGACATAAAGGATTTTAATTAAATATGCCTGCCATGTCTGAGTGTGAAACAAAATCTGAATATATTAAAAACCAGTCTACATGACAGATCAGTGATCAAAACATCCTGAGCCTCTATATATTAAAAACGATCCTCTAAATTTAAAAGCCGATTCTTTTAAAAAGACGTAATAAACACTACTATAAGTTAAAAGAATTTGTGTTTAAAGGCATAAAAGCAAGCTACCTAAAAAAATAATGAAAAAATAAAATCAAACTACCTAAAAATAAGATAAATATGACCAACTTATCTTTTAATTCATGCATACTCTCCCACGTTTAAAAAAAAAAACAACAAAGCTAATTAACAGAAGTAAAGAATAGTGAATTAGAGAAGAAACAAAGGAAGACAAAAATGCTTTAATTTCTCCTACTTATCTGTATGGCTGTTAGTAAGAGACTTAGAACAAAATAAGCACTAGCACATTAAAGGATTCCGGAGGACTAGACTACCCTGGCCTCAGCTCACGCACTCCCACACATCCTGACTCCACCTGCTCCCCCCAGGCCTCAGCCAGTGTCTCCTTTTCTAACATCTAGCACTGCCACTTTCAGAGGTAAGGTCCAGGCTTAAGCACTGCCTTTACTGTGTCCACCAAAGCAGCTCCAGCACTGATTCATAACATCAAATCTGACAAATGCAGTGAAGAAATTAGCAGAATGCTATGCCTTAGACTTGGTTTTTACCACACCATGGGTATATAAACAGTATGACAGAAAATTCAAACGAGTAAAAATTTTACTGTTTACCACTAAATTTCATTGTTAATATTACTGTTTTCAGCCCTGACACAGGATTATACGTAATCATAATGATTACATAATTACGTAATCTTCAAAATTCTCATCTAATAATTTATAGTTAACAGTAGGCAAAAAGAAAACAGAGCACCTTTTTCTTACCTGTTAAAACAGTTTACCATGGCGCTTCCTGACAGACTCCCCGTTATACTGGCTCCAGCTAGGGCCATAGTACTAGCTGTCTCACTGAGGTTGTCTCGAATGGCTCCTATTCGATCCATGTGGCTTCCACTTGCACTCAAACTGCCAGTCAGACCACCAACACTTCCCTCCCCTATGCTAGGGTTGTGTCTTGCTTCTGCTACTGAAGTTGTGTCTAAATGCAAATATTTCAAAGAAATTAAATAAGTGTGATTATTAATTTCCCTCTTCTTAAATTCCCCCATGATTTCAGATAGGACATTTTATTATACAACATGCAAAGGAATAGGAAAGACATCTGGAGTCAGGAACACGTAACTATGGGGTGAGAGGAAAGGGAACTATCTCAGAGTGTAAAAAAGGATTAGGGACTGGCTTTCGGTATTAAATGGTCACCACGTTTTTACCTTAATAGCCTTGTATGGTGAGAGATGGTAGCTACACTTGCGGTGAACATATCATAATGTAGAAACTTGTTGAATCACTATGCTGAACACTTGAAATTAATGTAACACTGTGTGTCAACTATACTCATATTAAGAAAGAAAAAAAGAAATGGTACAATAGACCAAGAAGAAATGGGAGGAGAGAAGTGGTTTCCTCCTTTTGTTAAGATTAAAGATACTAGGATTTTTATATGCTAATGGAAACAAAGATGGTGAAATCAAGCACCTACTATGTTCCAGGTTTTTTCTTTTTTTTAAGATTTATTTGACATAGAGAGACACAGCGAGAGAGGGAACACAAGCAGGGGGAGTGGGAGAGGGAGAAGTAGGCTTCCCGCTGAGCAGGGAGCCTGATGCGGGGCTCGATCCCAGGACCCTGGGATCATGACCTGAGCCAAAGGCAGACGCTTAACCAACTGAGCCACCCAGGCGTCTCTATGTTCCAGGTTTTAAAAATACAATAACAAAGAAGACATATATATATATATGTCTAGCCCTCACCCCCAAGAAACCAAGTAAAAAAAAAAAAACAAGTTATTACAGACTGTGATAAGTGTTTTTAAGGAATCAAACTTTTACCGTCCATCTAAAATAAATTGGCTTGAAATCCTCAAAAAAGAAGGTCACCACTTCTTTTAAAAATCCAGAAGATTAAGGAATTCTTTAAAAAATCTGACAGCTGAGGGGCGCCTGGGTGGCTTAGTCGTTAAGTGGCTGCCTTTGGCTCAGGTCATGATCCCAGGGGGTCCTGGGATCAAGCCCTGCATCGGGCTCCCTGCTCTGCAGGAAAGCCTGCTTCTCCCTCTCCCACTCCCCCTGCTTGTGTTCCCTCTCTCACTGTGTCTGTCAAATAAATAA